ATATGTAGCTATGACGGGCCGTACAGGGTATAAAAGTGTCGCAAAAACTGCCGAATAAAAAAATATAAGTGCCAAATAGGTGCCATTATTTTTAATCGAAAGGAGATTACTTCTTTCTATCCCATTTAGCAATAAGTAAGAACGTCATTTCTTAAACAAAACCGCAATACCAAAATAAATTGTGTTGTATAAAAACATTAGAAACTAAAAAGTTTGTGCGAAATTGAAAAGTTAGTTGGTATTTGAAGTAAAAAATGGCACAGTTTGAGCCAGGTTGGCAGTCCTGGCTGCAAGTGACCGGCACTTTCTTCGCCGCTACCCCGCCCTTGCGAAACCGAGTTGTATAGTACTTTACAATTATTTTCTCCAGTGTTTGAAAGATCTCAACAGTGTGGGCGTAAGCAATCGTCAAAGCTTCGTTAAGAAAACATGGTGTTTTCACCACATAACACAGTGATTTTTGAAACCCATAATTTAAAAAATTTGTATATTCACATGATGTGATGCAGTGGTTAGCAGTGCGTCCTACCATCCCGCAGGCCTTCTTTAGAGCCCAGTTTCCGACCAACATCAAAAAATAAACAACAAACAAGTTCTTTCTAGTAGCGGTCACCCCTAGACAGGCTATGGCATACCGAATGTATTCTGCCATTAAAAACAGCTTTTCATAAAAATACAATCCACGTTGGGAGTCGGCGTAAAACTGTAGGCCCCCCTTTATGAAAAGACATCAGGGCGCACGCCAAAAATCGGAGAAGAAGCTCGGCCAAGCACGAACGTATTGTGTAAACGCCAATTTATTATTATTATATTCATAAGAATCAGGCTCACAGAGGTTTTTGAGGTCGCTGAATTTGAATCTGAAGCCAAAATAACAAAAAAAAAAAAACAAATGGCCGATCCAATAAGGGCTAGCCCAGCGCTTGCCCACATCCCGAAGTGGAGCAAAGGGCTTGGGTTATATTTATCTCGAAGATAGGAAAAGAGAGACTACTCTCTCGCCAAGTCCTTCAGGCCGATAAGTCTAACCCCCTTTCTGCTAACAGTACTCTGTACCTTCATCGACAGCTCTCACGTTGGTGTCGACCGGGCACTTAAAAAACGTAATGTGCAGGAAAGTGTCCGCAAATGCATAGCTATGCTACTTAACAAAAGTATAGCTGAAACCGACATCGGGTATAGCGTGGCACAGCTACAAACTACAAAAGGTTGCCCGCAGAGAGGAGTTTTATCCCCTCTCCTCTGGAGCTTAGTTATGGACGCACTCTTAAGAGATTTTCACTGACAATGGCATCCGCTGAATAAATCCACAAAATCGATATTTTTGGATAATGGGCACGAAATGGGGACCAAATATAAAATGCGGCCGCTGATATGTAACCAAAAAAAAAAAAATTTTAATTATCTCAACTATGTAGAAGTTGATATTGAAAACACACCATTTGTGCTATAGTTAATGTTCTAGTAAAAGACGAGAATAATTCTCATGAGGAAAGGACTTCACTCTCATTGTCATCGTCTACGATGTGAGTAAATATCCATTCTCATAAAAGCGAGTGCCTATACTCACGAGAATTATTCTCATCGTACACAAAGACGTACACGCCTATTCCGAGTGCCGACTGGTAGTAGATAAACGACTATTATTCGAGTATCGCTTTTCCATGGTATTGTGATCGTCGTTGTCTCGTTCAATGAGTCAATGTGAATAAATTATACGCGCTCACCCTTCTATAAATAAACGGTTGAAGAAGGATGAGCGACTAAAAACTATTCATAGTCGCTTATTCAACGAGAAATCCACATTCACAATACCATGGAAAAGCGATAATCGAATAATAGTCGTTTATCTGATACTAGTCGACACTCGCAATAGGGGTATTATATTATTTATATGTACATATATACATATATTTTAAACGGCCTTATTTTAAGGGTGAGGAGCTCGGTTTAAAAACAGCATAACTATATGTAGAAGGAATGGGAAATGGCATTTATGTGGCAATTTTGATTTATAAGGTGCTTAATGATGATTACTAAACGTTCTTTATATGAATGTGTTGCCCAGTTTTGAACTTACTTGAAAGCATAACTACCTCCAACGTTATCAATATGAGTAATGGCTTGTTGTAGATGATTTGCTGCATCTTGTACTTGCTGCAATTTCCACGGTGCATCAGGCGTGATGGAGGTACGTTGAACTTGGCTTGAAGCGCGTTTAAGCTTGTAACTAATGTCCTAAAAGTATAGGATTTAAGTTATATATTTAACTTTTAAAATTTTTGTAATAACTACAGCTTGGGTGATGCTATCGCCGGTGAGAGTAACGGAACACTTAAGCTGATCCTGCGCTGCCATCAACACAAACTTTTCAGTTCGTTTACCATCATTGTCAGGAAAGCATGGCACCGGAAATCGACGTGCACATTCCTAAAAGAAATGTAAAGCAAATGCATGTACATATGTAGATATGTAGGTAACATAGAATTAATTTTTAAATAATTCAAGCTGGAAAATAATGCATACCACTAATATTTCGCGCAGCTTCCTAAATATTGCGTGAACTTCATCTCGCATAACCCATTCAAATTCGATTTGCTGCAAGTAAATTAAAAATATGAATAAATGATTCCGTAAAAGCAAGCCGAATTTGTTTTTAAATACAGTAGGATCATGCTAGGATTTATTATATGTATGTACGTATATACATATGGGCACAGTGGCACATGTCTTTAATCCTTGTCTAATCCTTACTAAACGTTTACGAGGTACTCATAGCCATTTAGTAGGGATTAGACAAGGATTACTACATGTGCCACTGAAGTAGTAAGGTTTTCTTAGTTTTGAGTTTTGTAGTTATTGCAGAGGTCCATGGATATGCACTATTGAGTTAAGTACCATTCCAACGGTGGACATGGTTAACTTTGTTACAATACCAATTAGGGCACACTAATTTACACATTTACAAAAAGGCACTAAATGAAATACATATATGGACGCTACTAATACACTTCTTGAATTATTTGCTTCAGTCCTTGTATAGCGTTTTATTTTACTTTATTGATTATTTTTCCTACAATGCGAAAATTGTTCCATTAACCAAGTATGTACAAATTCGTTAGGCACACATATTATTAGCTATGCTCGTTAGCATATTTGCTGGGCATTGTACTTACGAATATTTTATATGAAATCATTAAAAAAACTTAATATAATTTTTATTTATTAACTTACGAGATTTTTAATTTCTTCGACTTCGGTGTCTTCCATTGTTTATGTATAGGTGACGTTTGGCCATTGTTGCCATAAAAATATTACCAAACTCCTCAAAAACAAATGCAGAATCCTCAAAATCCGAACAAATAACTCAAAATTTTCTTATTACAGTAATGATTATTGGGAACAAATGCAGTTGGGCTCCAAATCTCAAAAAAAAAATATATATATATATATTGGTATCGATAGAGATGATTGAGCTGAGGGGTACTGTTTAGTAAGTGGCCCACCTATTTTGGGGTATGGCGTCCAAAGGGGTGACCTGATCCAAAAAAAAATTGCACACACTTGTAGCCAAGGGTCTACCCATTATTTTAACATCCACTATTGTAATTTTTGGTCACTAATTTATTTACAAATTGGGTTTGAAATATGCCCTTTTTTGTAAAATTCGGAAATTAGCGTACATTTATCACTCCTATTTTCCTTAAAGCAGCCACTTCACCAATGCATTTTTATATTCCCCTTCACTTTAAACTTTATTCGACTTGTTACAACTCTCTTTATTACTTTAATTTTAACCTATCAATCACAATTTATTAAACAAAAACACCTTCAAAACCACGCGTCTGCCTTTGGTTGCATATGCAAATTAAATGGCGGCGTTTAGCTGTCAAACTGCTAAATATACAAGAAGGATGAGAGACAAAAGAAAATATGATATAACCCAGTCAGCATTAAAAATATAAACCTTTCCATGGAAAATATGTATCTACGCAGAAATGTGTTCTCTACAAAAGGTGTTCAGCCCCCTTTCTTTGGCAACACAGAAGGGAATTCTACGTAGTGAGGGTTATAATCCCTAAGTGCGGCCGAAGGCCGCCTACGCAGAAAGGTGTTCAGCCCCCTTTCTTTGGCAACACAGAAGAGAATTCTACGTAGTGAGGGTTATAATCCCTAAACTTTTCGTAAAGTGGCGACTGACCCCTTTCGAATGAGGGGGGTTTGGGGGCCACGCCCCTCCGCCCCCCACCCCAAAAACGATGGGACAATAACTAAACATTTCCCGAGCTGAGTATAAGGGTATACTTTTTTTTGGGCAAACAACAACAACAAAAATTGTCAAAGGTTAAAGTTCAAAATAAGCAATTTTTGAAATCCATATTCTTATAGAAATCGTTTTGTCTTGTTTACCTCACACCATTTCTACCGGAGCCAGTAATCGGACTTTAAAAAAATTCTGTGTGGTAGAATCTGGTAAAAAAATGTGGTAGATATTTGGGTTTGGATCAAACTTTGTACAAAAATTAAAAAAATTCTGCATTGCTTCACCCAAATGGCAAACTTTTTAATTAGACTCTAAAAAATTTTATTTTAGTATAATAAAGTGCAAGATTGAAGTTTCGAAAAGTTGCGTTGAGTTTTGGAAATTATTTTCCTTGACAGTTTAAGCCTTCCTTCCTTTCCTTCCTTCCTTTCATATTAAGATATTTTTCGAACATATTAGGTGCGTTCGTTTAAAATCTCCAGCAGAAACCAACCAACTGCCAAATTTCGGCGAAATGTCATCTGTTCTCTCACAAGAGAGAAATATCCAAAATAGTACGCGAACAGAAAATTTGCAGAAACTTGCAAGTTAGACGAACAGCTGATATAATTTTTGTTTACATACAAAAGTGTAAAATTTAAAACGTACGAAAAGTCATCGCAAAGTGTTATACTGACACAGTTTATTGATTAAACAAATAACTACTTATTTCTTACAAGTTTAATTAGTCGCATTTTGTAATTTTTATCTTCCAAACCATCAAATTCATTTTTGTGATTTGCGTAAATGCCAACCAGCTGTTTTTGATCATCTGTTTTCCTGTTAGCAAAAATTTTTCCAGCAGAAACCAGCAGCTTCCCCTCAAAATGAAATGTCAGTTTGCTCTCTCAATTTCCCCCACTTTGCAAGTTTTTTGCGTACGCGAACGCAAAAACTTGTAAGTTTTGGTTAAACATGAACAATTAACAGCTACGCGAACGAACCTATTTTAAGAGATTTCTGCAACCTTGCGGAGTGCTGCCAGCTTTTCTTTTTATCACATCACGAAGTAGCGAACAAATGTGGCACGTTCCAGAAACAGCTAATTGGGATTTGGCGATTTTTACAATTTTCAAGTAAAAGTAAACAACGTCTCAGAACCTTTCATGCACTCAAATTTGCTAATACGTTCACAAAAACCGCCGTTTTTTAACATTTTCGCTATTAATTCTTTTTATAAATCATATATTTTGCAATTTAACATAATAAAACCGCGTTTTCTGTCGAAAAATTGATTACTGAGAAAATTTACTATTTTACAATTTATTTTATTCTCCCATTCGGATTCGTTTACTTATGTCAAGCAAAAATAAAACTACTCAAAAACGCGAATATGTGGTAAGGTTTGCGCACGATGAAATTAGTGCACACATTACGGCTTGTAAAATTTTTTAACTTTGAAATTAAATTTTTTTTTACCACAAGATGGCTTTGCTAAATATATACAAATGCTCTTGTCAAGTTTCAAAAGAATTCGATACGTTTTGTGTTCAAGATGGGCAATGAAAAAGAAGTACGCGAAAAAATGATTAGATCTTATAACGAAAATCCAAATTGGACTTTCAAAGCAATCGCTAGAAAAGCAAAGGTTTCCCGGAATACCGTATCGCTTGTTGTTTAAACTTACAACGAACGTCTGACTGTAAATAGGAAGCAAGGAAGTGGCAAAAAAAAGGGTTTTAAAAACCCTGTTGTCGCCAAGAAGATAATAACGCTTTTTAGGAAAAATCCTAACATATCGGGTAGAAAAGTTGCTGAAAAAACTACAATGCTCCGAGGCTTTTGTCAGAAAAGTTAAAAAGGAGGAAGGGCTTAAGTCATACAAAGTTCAGAAAGTTCCTGACAGAAATTCAAAAAAGAACAGCACGGCAAAAGATCGAGCCAAACGACTTAACCTTGAGTTCTTTAAGAATTTTGACTGCTGCATCATGGATGATGAAACATATGTACTTGGGGACTTTTCTCAGCTACCAGGTGTGGATTTTTATGTTGCAGATCGTAGAGGAAATGTCCAAGAGGAGTTCAAAACGCAAAAAAAGACAAAGTTTCGTAAAAAGTTTTTGGTTTGGCAAGCAATTTGTAGCTGTGGTAAAAGAAGTAGCTCCTTTGTTACAACTGGAACGATTAATACTGGATTATATATCCAGGAGTGTTTGCAAAAACGGCTTTTGCCATTCATAAGACGGCATGAGGTCCATTACAGCAAATCGGCACTTGAGTGTTATGAGACGAACAACATATTATTTGTACCCAGATACGCAAATCCACCTAACTGCCCGGAGCTCAGACCCATCGAAAGATATTGGGCTCTGGTAAAAAGGGTTATGCAGGGCACAAAACAAGTTGCTGATACCACCAAACATTTTTCCAAAAAATGGTAATCATCAAGCAAAAAAGTTACTGAAAACACAGTTAGACGACTAATGGGAGGTATATTAGAAAAAATTAAATTGTTTATAAAAACCCATTAATCTGTAAAATGTGTTTAATAAATATAAACATGAATTGAATGTATGTTATAATACTGCTTCTTTATTTTTAATAAATCAGCTAATTCAAAAGCTATTTGAATTATTTCGTGCACTAATTTCATCGTGCGCAAACCTTAGATTTCAGACCTTGAGTGGTAGATGTGGTAGATGCTCAAAAAAGTGGCAGATCTACCACAATGTGGTAGAAGTCCGATCACTGACCGGAGCACGAGAACTTAAAAAAATCTAAACATATATGAGTTTTGGGAACAAATTTAATTAATCAAAAACGAACTGAACGATCAGATCTTGGCTAGCATTTTTAAAATGTCTCAAGGTATATTTTCTATTCCACATTCTCCGCAAATGTTTAACGTGTCTTTTCTGTTCAGAATGTGATAAAAACTTAACGTAAATAGAAATAGATTACAAGTAAAAACTCTCGGTTCTTTAATAAAAGCAGACGATTATGTCATGATACACAAATACGCACAGAGTCTTTAAACGAAAATGTGACTTACGATCTCTCAGAAAGTGAAATGCTTAACTTATTTTTATTCTACTTTTAATAAATATACATATGTATATTTTTACATGATGTTTGTTTAAAAGGCGTTGAATAAATGTATATTTGTTTTAAACTTTCGTTGTTTTTGTGAAAGCTTTTAAATTTTTTGTTGGTACATTTTTTCAGACGTTTGATACAATTTCGTAAAATTCATTTATCATCGCTGGTACGAATAGCAGGTTTTGCAGGATTTACAGGAACAGCTGTTTTTGCCATTAGACTGCTTTTACACAGTTCAAGTATTGAATTCAATTCTGCTCGCATGTGGAAGAGAGGGGGTGAGAAGAAAAGGGACGAGTACACATGCGTCTGTACCGTCAAGTCGTTTCAACTTTCTTGCTTTGCTTTTGGCATTTTCGTTGCTTCCCGTTTAAAGAACCAAAAACTTGAATTCAACAGAATTGAAACGTGCAAAAGCAAATAGAAAACACAAAAGAGAATGAGCAAGAATTGCTTTCAAGTAGTTGAATCATGTAAATCGGGTGTTGATGAACCTTCTGCAAGGTGGTGCAGGAACAGCTTCCTGTAAAACCCTTGGGGTGTTCACAGTTCGTTCCAAATAGTGTCTCAAAATGTAGACGTCTACATTTTAAGACGTTTTCTAACCGTAAAATCTGTGGTGTTGTTGTTTCCCATACAAAATTGGAAAACGACGCCGTCTACATTTTGTCACACTCAAAGGTATGTTTTTTACGCGTCTACATTTTGCAACCTCGCAGCAGGGTTGCATTATGGCAATACTAATCACATTTTTTTTATTTATTGGGCACGTTTTCCGTATTTGCATTTAATTTGAGCGCAATTTCTGATGAAAAGAAACAAATTAAGGAAAAGGAATAACAAATATTACGAATTGGTAATTAAGTTAAATAATTACAATTTTTCAGAAACAAAATCGAAAGGCGACATATAAACAATGCACGCAAACAAGAAATGTCTGGCAACACCAGCAAAGTTTTGAGACGATTTTGCGACGACTGCTAGAAAGGGGTGCTCACAGTTTGATGCTAAAAATGTCTCAAAATGTAGACGTCTACATTTTCAGACACAATTTGGAACGAACTGTGAACACCCCACCTGTAAATTCCT